CCATATCGAGATATAGATCTGCGGGCGATCTCGTGGTATCGAAAGGATACCGAGATCGTGCCCGGATACAAGCTTGGTTACAGAACGTAACTGAATTCGCGCGAAGTTACAATCAAAGTGTAAGTATAAGAATGGAAGCACAAAATAGCTGTCTTTAGCACAATTAAACAAAAGCGCATTAAAACAAACACTGGTACAGTTGGTTATAATAAGAATTGTTTCTATTAAACCGGTCGTGTTCTCGTGATAAATGGTGAGTTACTACACTACTTACTTACTTACTTACTTATTTAATTACTTACTTAAGCCTGTTACTCCCAATGGAGCATAGGCCGCCAACCAGCATTCGCCAAACCACTCTGTCCTCAGCCTCTTTTTCTAAGTCCATCCAATTCATGTTCATTTTTCTCACGTCTATCTCCATTTCCCCGCATAATGCGATCTTTGGTCTTCCTCTTTTCCTTTGGCCTTCAGGACTCCGTGTGAGGGCTTGTCTTGTGACGCAGTTCGATGCTTTCCTCAATGTGTGTCCTATCCACTTCCAGCGCTTCTTCCTGATTTCTTCCTCAGCTAGAATCTGGTTTGTTCTTTCCCACAGCAGGCTGTTGCTGATGTTGTAGTGTCCGGCCATTGAATCCGAAGTATTTTGCGTGGACAACTGTTAATAAACACCTGTATCTTCTGGATGATGGCTTTCGTAGTTCTCCAGGTTTCCGCCCCATACAGTAAAACTGTCTCAACATTTGTATTGAAACTTCTGACTTTGGTGTTGGTTAACAGTTGTTTTGAGTTCCAGATGTTCTTCAGTTGTAAATATGCTGCTCTTGCTTTACCGATCCGCGCTTTCACATCTGCATCAGACCCACCATGATCATCAATGGTGCTGCCCAAATTGACTGACTGTTGCGTTCACTGATTCCTGGAAATCATTTTTCAATCATAGACTGATATCATTTAAAGAATAAGGAAGATAGTTCTGGATAAGCGCGCCAATTTCAAAAGATTTCAGCATTCAGGAATTTTTCATAGTTGTGTAAAGCACAAACCTAATTGAATACAAATCAGTAGTCAAACACATTAGTAATGCAAAGAGATGTGTGGAGATTGTTCAGCTTCAGTATCATTAACACAAATGGCCAATAAGTAATCGAATATCTTGTAAGATTACAACGAATTGGACAGCCTGTAACAACTGTTGTTAATCAGTTTAGAGTCGACCGAAAACAACTAAGTCAATATCAGAACATTGAAGCTCGAGTACTCGTTCTCTTTTCATTGTTTCGTGTAGAGATTATATGTGCTATTATTTAATGCTGAACGTTGAAGTGCTTTTTGTGTCAGAAATGGCAACCTCGCTCACAGAACCACGTTCCAGGATTTTAAAATGAATATTAATGCACTGCTAGTGTCCTTTCTCCGATCGGCGAATCGAGAGGTGCTGACCTGTACGAAAACCCAAACAGACCCAGTTTGAAGTCTCTCAACTAGAAACTATAATTTACAGATTCCAAACATTCATGTTCGAATCCAGCACCTTCATCTCTCACTGTAATATCTGAAGTTTTTAAATACTATTGACGGTGAAGGAGCCGATTCGCACTACTGAGTGGTTGCATACTAGAAGAAGACAGTTTTCCACCGTATTCTGGTTTGCCATGTTAACACACTTTATGTTGATTATTGGAAATTACTTTCAACACTCGCCACAAACGTTTACACGGTATGTTGTGAACTGATGGAGGTAAGAGATAAAGACTGATGAGTTCTAAATCTTCCATATCTAATGACAGACCATTATATATTGTTTATACGAATATTCGTCAAGATTAGAACGACTAGTTTGACAGAAATTGGGCGCCCAGTATAATTATTATGTATTGTTCCTATGTTAGTAGTGTCCACAAGCACTGAGTTCCAGATAAAGATGAAGTAAACTCTCACCACCACCTTTTTTAGTTAGTCAAAAAACAGTGTCCTTCGTGAAATGCAGCATTTAACCGTAACATTCCTCTTTCAAGTTAAGATTATAGATTTTACACAGTAACCAGTAACTACTTAAAATAACGTGGTGAATATTTTTATTACACTCAGTAAGTGAAAAGTTCAAATAACCTAATGATATGGAAAGCTTAACAGAAGTTGCACAACATAAGGTCAATCGATGGAGATCAGAAGTAACCTGAATAATAAATGCCATCTCATTAGCTGAGAAATGGATTGCTCTCTTAACGTGTAGAATTCTACATGTACAAATGAGCACTTGTGTATTTGATTCAGTAATCAAATAAACTCTCTCTTCCATTCTACTGTTCTCGATCAAGTAGTCAGTTGCCGTATTCGACACTCACATTATCGCGTAGCAGTATCAGATTCCGGATAACACAAGTCACAACATCTATCATTACAAATAATTCATTTCATGATGAATAATGACAATGAATGGCTTAAGAAATGGTTGCCGCTTGTACTTCACCCAATAAGCCATCTATCATGCTATAGAATCAATCAAAAAATTTTATTAATTGAGAATACCCTAAAGTAAGCGGCTACTCATCATATGCAAGCACATAAACCATAATCATTTAAGTAAGAAATGACACTTTGAACCATTCATACGACATTGAAGTTCCTTGATTGATTCACACTGAAATGTCCACCCAAACACGGTTCCATTATACGATAAATTAAACATTGAAAAATCTCTTCTGTGTTGTCTGCTAGTCGATTTACCCAGTGAGTTTGTCTAGTAAACTGATCACTTTCATGTGCGATCATTGTACCAGTCTGATGAGTGAGGCTCAACTGGTTTTGTGCAGTTTGAATCATGCAAAACGGAATTCTGACTGATCTAATTATCCTAGCAGTTGAGACAAATCAACAAGGTGTGATTGGAATCTGTCTCGAAACTGATGTCCTCCATAAAATCTGAACCCACACTAGAGCATAATCCATGCAATCTCAAATCAGTTAAACTAATACCAACCAACATTTTAACCAACTGACAAACCAGTTGAATCACATCTAACATCTAGATAAGCATGACAGTGATCAATATACCGTGATCAACCATTGTCAACAGGTAACTTCAAATACACGCATCGATGTCCACAAGTCTAATAGAAGCACATAATCAACCAAATTCTTATCCGACTTTTCATGTCAATTTACCGGATTCGGCTTCACCTAGTGATGAACATAATTTGAATGAAATTCCTTATAAAAATGAGGAAAGTTATATGATCATCAGATGAATCAAATGATGATCGAAATTCCAATGCGTTTTTGATAGATGCCGACTTTTCTACTGATCCATCTAGTGATCCACTAACGAAGATTCTTAGTGAAATTGAAGAAAGTGTTTCGAAAGAATCATACCCTCATGACCTCAACTCAAATGTCGTTCATTATCATCATCTAGTATTCTCGAGTGAAATCTTCATTCAATGCGAGAAATGAAAGTCACATTAATTGTAACTTGGAGATATGATGATGCAAAATTATTTCGTAGTAGAGGATAACCTGAGAGAATTTACAGTTACAGATATCGTTTTTGTGAATCAAGATGTAAACTTCGAATCTTCCATAAAGAAAATGAACGTGATACATCCTAGTGGAGATTATACTACGAGTAACTTCTGAGAAGTATTAATGGACTAATATTATATATACATTCTTGTTGTATAACTATTCAGTAACTAGATTGTGTATAATCATATTGTTCTTATTGTTAACCTCATTTTGACCTATAAACTATTGATATAGTCCTTGATATACCTAAATGATACTCAGCTTAGTAATTACAGTCTCCCACATTCACAGCCACATTCTCACTGGATCTGGTACAAATGACATCTTTTATTTGATCGAGTGAGGTGGTCGGTTCGCCTTGTAAATAAACGAGATATATTTGAAATAAATGATTCGCATAGTGGAAGCTGTTAATGGAGTCCTGAAATTAAATTGCAGCGCTCGGAAGAAAATTAACAATAAGGACACAAGACTGCTCACACGGTCGATATGTCATTGATTTGGCACAGATCTAGGAATGCATAAGTCGTATTTCGACTGTCGAATAAGTCATGTGATAATTAGTCGAGATTGAAGACACAACAATCACATCTAATAATGAATACACATGACAGTGATCACTACAGGTGGTCAACCAAATGTAGCAGGTAACTTCAAATGCACACATTGAATTTCACACATCTAACACCAAGAGTAAAGAGAATTTAGGGCAACATCTAATTGATGATATCAATGATGATGATGAATGATAAGTGTGTTTTCCCATTAAAAGATCATCATTCCAATGGAATTTCACTCCAACATCACAATATGGCATCCTCTGATCACATAATTTACTTAAGCACCTTCCAGTGAATAATGAAAATCGGATGAAGGAATGCACAATGTAAGTAATGATCAGAATTATACAACCAAACAATGAGTGATTGCACAACATATCCGTGTAAATGTAATTCATAGTTGCACAATCAACTCGAATTCAAGTGAACACAAACAGTAAAGTTACACAAGTAACGCTGAAATAATGGCAAACGCATAGTCCACACCATCGACACATCACACAATGATTCAATTGATTTACAACTTCATTCGAACTGCATATTCAAATTAACTTCAAGTGAAGTTAATCAAACTGATCGAATTTGCAATCAGTTCACAAATACAAAAGAATCAATATGATAACTGATAGTGTAAACAAGTCGTTGATTGATTCCAACTACTTACTCTAAGCTACTTCAATGCTGAAACCTCCTCAATGATCGAATTCCATCAAGTCGATACAATTGGATGAGAATCAGTAAATCCAGTCAAACAGTCACGTGTATTGAATCGGTCGAATCACTAATATCATCAATCATCACACAGTCACATAATACCACCTCGTGAATTCCAAGTTCACTCAACTTAACATAATTCTGCTTACAGTTATCCGATGTGTAATGTAAAATCATCGTGTAAAATGAAAAACCACATTGTTAACTTCATCATTTATTCTCACCAAAATCAAAACTCTCCATAAACTCACCTTGATGGAATCATCAGATTAGTGTGAACACAATGTATACAAGAAAGTATTGAGGCAAAGTGAAATAGACGAATAAAACAATACACTAATCATTTCATTTCAATAAACAAAGTCACAATATGGGAAACTGCATAAGAAAACAAAACAAAAAACAAAATCAGAAAAACACAAAATCACATACATCGATCCACCATTCAATATCACATCACATCACATCACTATAATTAGTAGTCATAGTAACAAGAATAGTAGTATGCACATCATTATTATTCCAAATTACCACCAACACCACCACCACCACCAACACAACAACAACAACAACTATTCAATATAATCTGTATTCAGTAATTGTGTATATTCAATATTATCATATTGATTGATGGGATTAGATTGATGCAATGATTCTCTATCATATTTATATGATGATGGTGTCCTCTAATCGACAAGTTCGTCATCTTAGTCCAATCCGATGATACACCATAACATTTAGCCATTACTATTAATAATAATAATTGTCCAATCATAACAATAAACATATGCCATACAAATATCACAACAGTTAACATCACTTTATCATGATCACTTTCATCCCATGCTTGATTGAATGGAGAATTTAATAAAAATCCACTTTGACATATCCATGATCCATGTATCATCACACTGAAACATTTGATCCATGTCCATAATAAGGAGTTGTTAAACACCGCCATCATCCCAACATCAACTCCCTTCATTGACGTCATCATCATCATTTCATGTATCATCCAGCAACCAACTATCAATCCCCAATAACTAATCAATAAACAACAGGTTTCTGTAATATGTGGTTGTTGATAGGATTGAGCACGTAAACAATAAGTATGTACAAAGAATGGTAATGCATATATTATAGAATCAAATCCTTTCGGTAATACAATGATTGTTGTCGACATGAATATATCTAATAAACCAACTAGCAACATTGCTGTATAAAATGGAAATTGAGCATATTCATGATGACGACCTAATTTCAATGTGATCAATTCTACACCAATACCAATCAGACAACAAATTACTTTACATAAACCTTCTCCCCTACTGTGTTTACAACAACTCCGTGATCCAATGGATACAGTTGTAGCAGATTGTTCATTATGATGCTTGTGTTTGGTTTTAGAATAATGTTGTCTTAATGCTTGAATCCACCACCAAATTCCTAAACATAATAGGCATATACCTAAATAGGTATAACTAAGAAATAATCCATCATTTCCATGATTAACTAGATGAATTGATGACATGGAATTAACATTCTCATTATGTTCATGAATATCATCATGATTAGAATGTTGCATCATTCAATGGACTAGTTGAATAGAAATGAATCTAATAAATATTCTATGTATTATATACACTAAATAGGTTTAATGTTTCTGTTATATCTAATCATTGGTTCAATAAATGTTTACAATGAAATGAAATGCTATAAGCTTTTTAACCAATCAAATTCTATATTCCATTTAATCTCTCATCACTATGGTAACTGAGTGAGTGCGTGAGTGCGTGAGTGAGTGTGTGAGTTGACAACCAAATAAGAATGAAATGAACAATCTCATTGATTTATTTAATGAGTAGGTCACATGATGTATTTTTCTCTTAAATTGGATTATTAAGGTTTAAAATGTTTACCCTCTCTCTCTCTCTCTCCAATAGTTCATACACACAACGGTGTATTTTGCATTTTAATAAACAATGAACTGAATGTTACTATGCTCTTATACATTCAGTCTCATTAATAGTCTGTATCTTATATTTATTTAAGCAGAGATGAATAGTGAGATGGTGGAGAAGATTTGTACTTCAGGTGGATGAATTTTATGGAATTTCGTCCTCTGAGCTAGATGGTTTAATTGTGGAGCATTCATCGTTCTTCTCAACGACATAATCAACATGAATCACTTCAAATCTCTCCATATATGGTTTACAGCTTGTCATGTAGACCTCGATGTTGATCGGTTCTTCTTGATCAATGTATGATTATGTAGTATGAATGTTAATTGATAAGTGATTTAGCTTAATTTCATAGGTTATTTCATATATGATATTGATTACTTATTATTAATTAATTTTAATAAGTAGTATGTGATGTATTGTAGAATCTGACATGTTATTCAATTAGTTTAGTTTAATGTCTTTTGTCCCTTAGGAAAAGACAAAGGGGATTCAACTCATGAATGTGAGGTATAAGTTATTACTGTAAATCAAGGAGAACTTATCAGCTATTTTCTGTCAATATGATCCTCCTCAACGGTGATTCCGATAGTCTGATATACTTGGATAAGGCAGTAAGTGAGGTGATTCAATAGCCATTAAAAGAAATCTATATAACAGTAACAGGAATTTTTTTTGACAATTTAGTAAAGATTTATTCAATTAGTATATCCTATTCATCAATGATCAATCTCATCTTAATATGAAACTATATAATGTTGTGTATCAATGATTCAATCATGGTTTGAATCCAGAACTTTCAAAGTCTCATGGTCAGTGCTTTTGTCAACAGACTACAGAACAGTTAACACAGGGTTGACACTTACAGCTTAGTTAAACTATCAATTAAGCATGATGATCATTCCAGTAATTGGTGATGACTGTTATGCTTATATATTCATAGATTAACTTGGATATTTTACAATACACTTATAATCACCAAATCTTCTAATGAAATATCAACTCGATCCAGAGAACATTTAGAGAAAAGATAAAGAATCTTTATTGAATGAAATCAATTGTAGATTTTCCTATCATATTCATGAATCATCACATTGTATTATGTTACATTTGAACATGTTCAACGAGGGGGAAAAACATGACGTTACTGCCTTATCCAATTACATAAGACTATCATGAATCACCATTGAGGAGGATCATGTTGACAGAAATCAGCTGATCAGTGCTCCAGGATTCACATCAACTATAAATATTAATCCTAATTTTTCACACTGGTTTATAACCGACATTTAACCGCAGTATATATGTGGACATTCTCAAGGTATTATTAGCGTCACTCATAGATCATGCATAAATTCTAGTCTCACCATTAACATAAATCAGTCATTTATTAAGGTTCATAACGTTCATATTACATAATCACTAATTGATCAACCCATATACATCGATTTTCAAAAGATATAGACTATTAATGAGACTGAATGTATAAGAGCATAGTAACATTCAGTTCATTGTTTATTAAAATGCAAAATACACCGTTGTGTGTATGAACTATTGGAGAGAGAGAGAGAGAGGGTAAACATTTTAAACCTTATTAATGAAATACGTCATGTGACCTACTCATTAAATAAATCAATGAGATTGTTCATTTCATTCTTATTTGGTTGTCAACTCACACACTCACTCACGCACTCACGCACTCACTCAGTTACCATAGTGATGAGAGATTAAATGGAATATAGAATGTGATTGGTTAAAAAGCTTATAGCATTTCATTTCATTGTAAACATTTATTGAACCAATGATTAGATATAACAGAAACATTAAACCTATTTAGTGTATATAATACATAGAATATTTATTAGATTCATTTCTATTCAACTAGTCCATTGAATGATGCAACATTCTAATCATGATGATATTCATGAACATAATGAGAATGTTAATTCATGTCATCAATTCATCTAGTTAATCATGGAAATGATGGATTATTTCTTAGTTATACCTATTTAGGTATATGCCTATTATGTTTAGGAATTTGGTGGTGGATTCAAGCATTAAGACAACATTATTCTAAAACCAAACACAAGCATCATAATGAACAATCTGCTACAACTGTATCCATTGGATCACGGAGTTGTTGTAAAGACAGTAGGGGAGAAGGTTTATGTAAAGTAATTTGTTGTCTGATTGGTATTGGTGTAGAATTGATCACATTGAAATTAGGTCGTCATCATGAATATGCTCAATTTCCATTTTATACAGCAATGTTGCTAGTTGGTTTATTAGATATATTCATGTCGACAACAATCATTGTATTACCGAAAGGATTTGATTCTATAATATATGCATTACCATTCTTTGTACATACTTATTGTTTACGTGCTCAATCCTATCAACAACCACATATTACAGAAACCTGTTGTTTATTGATTAGTTATTGGGGATTGATAGTTGGTTGCTGGATGATACATGAAATGATGATGATGACGTCAATGAAGGGAGTTGAGTTTGGGGTGATGGGGGTGTTTAACAACTCCTTATTATGGACATGGATCAAATGTTTCAGTGTGATGATACATGGATCATGGATATGTCAAAGTGGATTTTTATTAAATTCTCCATTCAATCAAGCATGGGATGAAAGTGATCATGATAAAGTGATGTTAACTGTTGTGATATTTGTATGGCATATGTTTATTGTTATGATTGGACAATTATTATTATTAATAGTAATGGCTAAATGTTATGGTGTATCATCGGATTGGACTAAGATGACGAACTTGTCGATTAGAGGACACCATCATCATATAAATATGATAGAGAATCATTGCATCAATCTAATCCCATCAATCAATATGATAATATTGAATATACACAATTACTGAATACAGATTATATTGAATAGTTGTTGTTGTTGTTGTGGTGGTGGTGGTTGTGGTGTTGGTGGTGATTGGGAACAATAATGATGTGCATACTACTATTCTTGTTACTATGACTACTAATTATAGTGATGAGATGTGATGTGATGTGATGTTTTATGTGTGGTGGATCGATATATGTGATATTGTGTTTTTCTGATTTTGTTTTTGGTTTTGTTTTGCTATGCAGTTTCCCATATTGCGACTTTGTTTATTGAAATGAAATGATTAGTGTATTGTTTTATTCGTCTATTTCACTTTGCCTCAATACTTTCTTGTATACATTGTGTTCACACTAATCTGATGATTCCATCAAGGTGAGTTTATGGAGAGTTTTGATTTTGGTGAGAATAAATGATGAAGTTAACAATGTGGTTTTTCATTTTACACGATGATTTTGCATTACACATTGGATAACTGTAAGCAGAATTATGTTAAGTTGAGTGAACTTGGAATTCACGAGGTGGTATTATGTGACTGTGTGATGATTGATGATATTAGTGATTCGACCGATTCAATACACGTGACTGTTTGACTGGATTTACTGATTCTCATCCAATTGTATCGACTTGATGGAATTCGATCATTGAGGAGGTTTCAGCATTGAAGTAGCTTAGAGTAAGTAGTTGGAATCAATCAACGACTTGTTTACACTATCAGTTATCATATTGATTCTTTTGTATTTATGAACTGATTGCAAATTCGATCAGTTTGATTAACTTCACTTGAAGTTAATTTGAATATGCAGTTCGAATGAAGTTGTAAATCAATTGAATCATTGTGTGATGTGTCGATGGTGTGGACTATGCGTTTGCCATTATTTCAGCGTTACTTGTGTAACTTTACTGTTTGTGTTCACTTGAATTCGAGTTGATTGTGCAACTATGAATTACATTTACACGGATATGTTGTGCAATCACTCATTGTTTGGTTGTATAATTCTAATCATTACTTACATTGTGCATTCCTTCATCCGATTTTCATTATTCACTGGAAGGTGCTTAAGTAAATTATGTGATCAGAGGATGCCATATTGTGATGTTTGAGTGAAATTCCATTGGAATAAACATCCCTCAATGGAAAGAGACACTTATCATCGATCATCATCATTGAAATAATCAACTTGATGTTGCCCTAATTTCTATTCACTCTTGTTGTTAGACGTGTGTGCTTCGATGTGTGCATTTGAAGTTACCTGCTACATTTGGTTGACCACCTGTAGTGATCACTGTCATGTGTATTCATTATTAGATGTGATTGTTGTGTCTTCAATCTCGGCTAATTATCACGTGAGTTATTCGACAGTCGAAATACGACTTACGCATTCCTAGATCTGTGCCAAATCAATGACATATCGACCGGTATGAGCAGTCTTGTGTCCTTATTGTTAATTTTCTTCCGAGCGCTGCAATTTAATTTCAGGACTCCATTAACAGCTTCCACTATGCGAATCATTTATTTCAAATATATCTCGTTTATTTACAAGGCGAACCGACCACCTCACTCGATCAAATAAAAGATGTCATTTGTACCAGATCCAGTGAGAATGTGGCTGTGAATGTGGGAGACTGTAATTACTAAGCTGAGTATCATTTAGGTATATCAAGGACTATATCAATAGTTTATAGGTCGAAATGAAGTTAACAATAAGAGTAATATGATTATACACAATCTAGTTACTGGATAGTTATACAACAAGAATGTATATATAATATTAGTCCATTAATACTTCTCAGAAGTTACCCGTAGTATAATCTCCACTAGGATGTATCACGTTCATTTTCTTTATGGAAGATTCGAAGTTTACATCTTGATTCACAAAAACGATATCTGTAACTGTAAATTCTCTCAGGTTATCCTCTACTACGAAATAATTTTGCATCATCATATCTCCAAGTTACAATTAATGTGACTTTCATTTCTCGCATTGAATGAAGATTTCACTCGAGAATACTAGATGATGATAATGAACGACATTTGAGTTGAGGTCATGAGGGTATGATTCTTTCGAATCACTTTCTTCAATTTCACTAAGAATCTTCGTTAGTGGATCACTAGATGGATCAGTAGAAAAGTCGGCATCTATCAAAAACGCATTGGAATTTCGATCATCATTTGATTCATCTGATGATCATATAACTTTCCTCATTTTTATAAGAAATTTCATTCAAATTATGTTCATCACTAGGAGAAGCCAAATCCGGTAAATTGACATGAAAAGTCGGATAAGAATTTGGTTGATTATGTGCTTCTATTAGACTTGTGGACATCGATGCGTGTATTTGAAGTTACCTGTTGACAATGGTTGATCACGGTATATTGATCACTGTCATGCTTATCTAGATGTTAGATGTGATTCAACTGGTTTGTCAGTTGGTTAAAATGTTGGTTGGTATTAGTTTAACTGATTTGAGATTGCATGGATTATGCTCTAGTGTGGGTTCAGATTTTATGGAGGACATCAGTTTCGAGACAGATTCCAATCACACCTTGTTGATTTGTCTCAACTGCTAGGATAATTAGATCAGTCAGAATTCCGTTTTGCATGATTCAAACTGCACAAAACCAGTTAAATCTAACTCATCAGACTAGCAGTATGATCGCACATGAAAGTGATAAGTTTACTAGACAAACTCACTTGGTAAATCGACTAGCAGACAACACAGAAGAGATTTTTCAATGTTTAATTTATCGTATAATGGAACCGTGTTTGGGTGGACATTTCAGTGTGAATCAATCAAGGAACTTCAATGTCGTATGAATGGTTCAAAGTGTCATTTCTTACTTAAATGATTATGGTTTATGTGCTTGCATATGATGAGTAGCCGCTTACTTCGGGGTATTTTCAATGATTAGAATTTATTGTATAGTTCTATAACATGATAGATGGCTTATTGGGTGAAGTGCAAACGGCAACCATTTCTTAAGCCATTCATTGTCATTATTCATCATGAAATGAATTATTTGTAATGATAGATGTTGTGACTTGTGTTATCCGGAATCTGATACTGCTACGCGATAATGTGAGTGTCGAATACGGCAACTGACTACTTGATCGAGAACAGTAGAATGGAAGAGAGAGTTTATTTGATTACTGAATCAAATACACAAGTGCTCATTTGTACATGTAGAATTCTACACGTTAAGAGAGCAATCCATTTCTCAGCTAATGAGATGGCATTTATTATTCAGGTTACTTCTGATCTCCATCGATTGACCTTATGTTGTGCAACTTCTGTTAAGCTTTCCATATCATTAGGTTATTTGAACTTTTCACTTACTGAGTGTAATAAAAATATTCACCACGTTATTTTAAGTAGTTACTGGTTACTGTGTAAAACGATGCATTTCACTAACATCCTTGTTTATTCAGGTTAATAAAAGGGTAGTGAGAAGGCAGTTGATCCTTATGTGGCAATCAATATTGAAGGACACTATTAACATAAAAAGACTATCTATGGGGGATCTATGGTAGATTCAGAACTCATCAATCTTTGTATCTAACTTCCATCAATTCACAATATACCGTGTCCAATATCCATAGTCATCAGTTATGTCTATCGTACTCCCAATGTTATTAGAATTTCAGTGTAAAGGTTTATGGCGAGTGTTGAAGTATAGTGAGATCAAGAATCAACATAAAGTATGTTAACATGGAAAACCAGAATACGGTGGAAAACTGTCTTCTTCTAGTATGCAACCACTCAGTAGTGCGAATCGGCGCCTTCACCGTCAATAGTATTTAAAAACTTCAGATATTACAGTGAGAGATGAAGGTGCTGGATTCGAACATGAATGTTTGGAATCTGTAAATTATAGTTTCTAGTTGAGAGACTTCAAACTGGGTCTGTTTCGGTTTTCGTACAGGTCAGCACCTCTCGATTCGCCGATCGGAGAAAGGACACTAGCAGTGCATTAATATTCATTTTAAAATCCTGGAACGTGGTTCTGTGAGCGAGGTTGCCATTTCTGACACAAAAAGCACTTCAACGTTCAGCATTAAATAATAGCACATATAATCTCTACACGAAACAATGAAAAGAGAACGAGTACTCGAGCTTCAATGTTCTGATATTGACTTAGTTGTTTTCGGTCAACTCGAAACTGATTAACAACAGTTGTTACAGGCTGTCCAATTCTTTATAATCTTACAAGATATTCCGTTACTTATTGGCCATTTGTGTTAATGATACTGAAGCTGAACAATCTCCACACATCTCTTTGCATTACTAATGTGTTTGACTACTGATTTGTATTCAATTAGGTTTGTGCTTTACACAACTATGAAATATTCCTGAATGCTGAAATCTTTTGAAATTAGCGCGCTTATCCAGAACTATCTTCCTTATTCTTTAAATGATATCAGTCTATGATTGAAAAATGATTTCCAGGAATCAGTGAACGCAACAGTCAGTCAATTTGGGCAGCACCATTGATGATCATGGTGGGTCTGATGCAGATGTGAAAGCGCGGATCGGTAAAGCAAGAGCAGCATATTTACAACTGAAGAACATCTGGAACTCAAAACAACTGTTAACCAACACCAAAGTCAGAAGTTTCAATACAAATGTTAAGACAGTTTTACTGTATGGGGCGGAAACCTGGAGAACTACGAAAGCCATCATTCAGAAGATACAGGTGTTTATTAACAGTTGTCCACGCAAAATACTTCGGATTCAATGGCCGGACACTACAACATCAGCAACAACCTGCTGTGGGAAAGAACAAACCAGATTCTAGCTGAGGAAGAAATCAGGAAGAAGCGCTGGAAGTGGATAGGACACACATTGAGGAAAGCATCGAACTGCGTCACAAGACAAGCCCTCACACGGAGTCCTGAAGGCCAAAGGAAAAGAGGAAGACCAAAGATCGCATTATGCGGGGAAATGGAGATAGACGTGAGAAAAATGAACATGAATTGGATGGACTTAGAAAAAGAGGCTGAGGACAGAGTGGTTTGGCGAATG